GGCACTTAACAACAACAACAACTAGATGTATTCTGGTAAAATTTCAGAAATATAAGGAGAAGATTTAAACACTTTTATGCGAGAAAGTTGGTATGTATAAAGGAATGAGAATCCCACTGGCATCAGCTTTCCTGTCAACAACACTGGATGCTAACGATAAATGGAGCAATGTTTTCAAAGGTCTGAGGAAAGTGACTGAATCTACAGTCTCTACCTAGCCAAACTGTCACATGAGAGGAGAAAAGAAAGACACTTTCAGATATGTAAAAACGAAGAAGACCAAGGCTGAGAGTGACAGAACACGCATGCATGGTACAGAGAAGGCTCAGAACAACACAGGATACAAGAAGTAGTCTGTGGGAAGTGGGATCAGGAGGTGAAGCAGGCTGGTCGGAACCAAAGGAGGAGTCACTGGATCGGATGCCTTCACAGCTCTACTGTCCAAAATTCAGCGACACACAAACGGATGTTCTACTACATTGATCCAATTCCACTACACTCTTACTTGGACAGTGAATAATGTTTTTAGTTTTCAGAGTCAACCCACAAACAAAGGGTAATAGAAGACAACAGAACGCAATGTAAGTGTCATAAAGCAACTAAACTACAACACAGAGCTATTAACTAGGAGAAACTGAGAGATGGAATGGCAAGAGTCCAGAAAGTGAAACACCAGAGCTTTTCCTTATGCTCTTGTGGCGAGCTGATAAAAACGATCTGAACTGCTCATGAAAATTAAGTATATTTTGTAAAGCTAAAAGTAACTACTTGAAAAACTAAAAGTAGTAACAAAAATTGAGCAGCAGAGAGGAGAAGCAAGTACTAGAAAGCATAAGGTTACTTATATTTCACATAAGAAATTCAACATGCAGTCTAGAGTTGGTGCATCTAGATAAAGGTGGATAACTTTATCAATTATGAGGGTAACCACCACAAAAACTCCAAGGAAACCATGGACAGGGGCTGTATCTGAGAAATGTGATAAGGAGGTACACAGGAGAGGCAATCCTTTCATTCTGTTTTTTTTTTGCATTTTTATAGTCCACATACTGTATTATTTCTATAATAAAAATAAGCTTAATTAACAACATAAACAAACATTCAGGGGAAAAAGAGCAAGTATTGGACTTGCTGAATTCCCTGTACTTTCTTTGCAAAATTCTATAAATTCTGTTGCTCATTTTAATCCTAACCTCTAAAGAACATCCCAAGTATTTTTATGTAATTAACTATTACCCTCTAACAAGCAGTGGAGGCATTTACCTGGAAAAATATACACATTGTTCCCTTGACCTGGCTTAAAGACTTGTCCATCACCGAGTGTCACTGGCCCAAACGGACTGCCACTTGCAAACAAACACCTTCCCTGTTAATGAAATGAAATGGTCTTAATTTTGTGACTGCCACTCGCAAACAAACACCTTCCCTGTTAATGAAATGAAATGGTCTTAATTTTGTAACTTTATATGGACTACACAAGTAAGGGGAATTCATACAAAATTAAATCTCGTAGTCAAGCAGACCAATATAGCACTTGGAAAGAAGACATAATTCACTAAATTAACAATCCTTTCCTTAGAATGAGATTAATTTTATGCATAGTGTACATTCAAATCAAGTTGAAAAACATCAATTAATAAACAATACTGACAAAATTTCCACCTCCACTAAAATTTTTAAAATGTTAATGGGCAATAAAAACCATCAAAGACTGACATAAACATCTGTGAATAAAGGGGAAAACATAAAAATTAGACCGTTATTGTTTACTGTACAACTGCTGTTTAATTCCCTTCATTTATCCCTTATAAAAACCTAGGGAAGCTATCACCATCTCCAGTTCACTGACAAAAAACTAGAAAAGTAAGGTTTAGATAGTGCCAGGTACTCTGCCAAAAAATTACACATCAGAAACTGTAGCAGTTAAACTTGAATCCCGATTTTTTTTTGTAATTTCAAGGCCCATGGTCTTTCTATTATGCTGTAATGCCTCCTCAGAGAGATAATTTATACATCAGACACATGGTATAAACCACATCCTCAGCGAGATAATTTATACATCAGACATATGACATAAACCACACTACCGTCCCGGGTAACAAGGGGGCATGACGCTTGAAGAAAACTAAGTCTCCAAATCTGTTATACCCACCGATTTTAGTACTGTGCTCTTTAGTGACATATAATAAATATGACCGGCTCTTTTAGTATTTCTCAGAAAATGAGATGCCCGTGTAATTGGAACGTACCTGAGAGTTAATTTATAAAATGTCTTAGTCCACTAGTGCTGCTATAACAAATACCACAAGTGGATGCCTTTAACAAACTGGGATTTATTCTCTTAGTTTAGGTGGCAAGAAGTAAAAATTCAGAGTGCCAGCTGCAGGGGCTGGGTGAAGACCCCGTGATCGTGGGCTCTGCCTCTTGTTCCAGGCCCACTGGAGAATGAGGCATCTCCTAACTAGAGCAGCTGCTGAGGCTGATGAACCCAAGGTCAGCAGTAAAATGATACCATCCCAAGGTTTGCAGGCAACACGGCAGATGACTGGTTCAAGTCCAGGAGCAATCCCAAGATCGGCAGGCAACACGGCAGGCCACCAGTTCAAGTCCAGGAAATGGAGATGAAGTCTTGGCCAAATGCATGATCCAAAATGTGCCAAAAGTTAGAGACCTTCCTCGTCAAAGCTGCTCCATATGTAATGGGAACAGGCCACTAGTTAGCTGCTCACAGAGGATTCCACCACGGAGGTGATTACGATCTCATCACAGGGAATAACGGCATCCAGCTGCCAAGCACTCAAAACCATTGCCCAGCCAAGCGGACACACAGCCTTCACTACCACGTAAAAGAAAACCCTTTACAGCTGTCTTTTTCCCCCTAAATGCTGCTGCCTAAAAAAAGGTAAAGAGCAAGGAGAAAATAGTAACAGATCATAAACAGCAAAACTTATCTTAAAATACTCAAGGAATAAAATAAGCCAAATTTAAAAAGCCCCTTGAATTAAGTAAGGTAAAAGGTGGTTTACAGAAAAGTGAATTAAATATCTCCACTGATTAAGATGGACACATTATCAGATTATTAAAATATTCTAAGTGTTTGGATACTGCTTGTTCTTCTTTTCTCTAGTTACAAATGCCTACTACACGGAGAGTGATTGTTCTTTGATATATAGAAGACCCTTGGCATTTGTGCATTTAACATTCAAGAATTTGACTCTGAGCAATCTAAAGGTCTACAATGTACAGTAATTAATTTTACAAGACACACTTTCAATTGCAAAATGCTACAAGGTTTAAGTACAGAGAAAAGTAGCTATGCTGGTAGTGGGCCCAGCTGACTACCTTGCACTTGCAACTCCAAACAGCTATCAAATTTTTCCTTATTCCACAGATAGCTATTATCATTCTCCAGCTGTTCTATGGAGCCCTGGCAGTGCTGCTAACTGATAGGCTCGTGCTTTGAACCCACCAATAGCTTTACAGAATGAAAGACTTGATAATCTGCTCCCATAAAGATTAAAACCAAAACAAACCCCAAACTTGTTGCAGAGTTGGTTCCAATTCAGTGCGACCCTATAGGACAGAGGAGAACTGCCCCATAGGGTTTCCTGGGCTATATCTTTATGGAAGCCGACTGCCAAATCTTTTTCCCGCAAAATGGCTGGGTGGTTCAAACCATCAATCTTTTGGTTAACAGCCAAGTGCTTAAATACTACACCACCAGAGCTCCTTGCAAAAGATTACAGCCTAGGAAACCCTGCAGGGCAGTTCTACTCTGTCCTGTAGGGTCACTACGAGTTGGAATCAACTTGATGGCACACAAAAACAGTAACTGTTCTACACGTTGTCAGGAGCTGTTGAGTCAGTTCTGACACATAGTGATCCTACATAAAACAGAACAAAAGACTGCCCAGTTGTGCACCATCCAATCATTGCCATATTTGAGCCCACTATTCTAGCCACTGTGTCAATCCATCTCATTTTTGGTCTTTCTCTTTCTTGCTAACCTTATCAAGTATGAGGGTTTTCTCTATGGACTTGTCCCTCCTGATAACACGCTCAAAGAATGTGTGATAACATCCTGCCATCCTCACTTCTAAGGAGTGTTTGCGTTATACGTCTAAGACAGATTTGTTTGTTCTTCTGGCAGTCCATGGCATACTCAACATTCTGTGCCAACACCATAATTCAAAATTATCCATTCCTCTTTAGTCTTCCTTATCCCTTGTTCAGCTTTTGCATACATATGAGGTGACTGAAAATACCATGGCTGTGGGTCAGGCACACCAGATGACATCTTTGCTTTTTAATACTTTAAAGAGGTCTTTTGCAGATTTTCCCAATGCAATACACCACTTGATTTCTTGACTGCTGCTTCCATGGGTGATTATGGATCCAAGTAAAATGAAATCTTGACATCTTTAGTCTTTTCTCTGTTTATGATGTCTAGTTTTGAGGATTTTTGTTTTCTTTACATTGAGGTGTAATCCATACTGAAAGTTGTATGTAGCCTATACATACCTATAACATTCTCTAGCTGTGAAGAAAATTTCATTTCTTTGCAGATTAATGTTAGTTTATGGTTAGTGTTATACATGTTACCACATAATGATGTAATATAATAGAGATGATTTCTGCGACACCATTAATTTCAATAGCTTTATCAATTAGATTATACAACACAGCACTTCAGAGGAGAAGTGTTATGTTCTCAGGGTATCACTAAAATTGGAGATTTAGAAAGATCTTGGGAATGTCCCCAAGACATTCACCTACATTCAGCAGTTCACCTTTTCTGAGATGTCCCTTTTCCCTGTATAATCAACTTACAGCTTAAATAAGCCAAACCTTAATGATACCAGAATTCTCATTCTTAAGTCCAAGTTAGCCTATTTTTTTGTTCTATGAGCAACTGGCCATTATAATGGGAATATCAATTTTTTTTTCACTGACCAGAAGAGGGTGCTAGAGTAACATCAAGACATCTGTACTGGAAAATGAAGTGAGAAACCAAAAAACAAAACAAAACAAAATAACCCACTGTCACTGAGTTAATTCACACTCAAAATGACTTCAGGACAGAGTAGAACTGTCCCATGGGATTTCCAAGGCTGTAAACCTCTAAGGAAGCAGACTGCCTCATTCTCCTCCCACTGAGGAGGGTAGCTGGTGGGTTCAAACCGGCTATCTGTTTTGGTTGTGCTTTAACCACTATACCACCAGAGCTCCTCAACATTTAACAGGTGACTGCAAATATAATTTATGCCATTATTTTATGAAACATAAAGAAGGAAGAGTGTTATAAATTGTGACATGTTTTATCATTACTTTTTGCTATGAGCTATGAGTCAATGCTGACTCATAGCAAACCCCCCTGGGTTTCCGAGGGAGTAAATCTTTACAGGAGTGGATTGCCCCACCTTCCCTTCTGTGGAGTGGCTGGTGGGTTTGAACCGCCACCCTTCTGGTTAGCAGTCAAATGCCTTAGGCATTACACCACCGGAGTGCCTTTATTTGAATATAATTAAAGGAAAAAAAATAAAATAAAATAATAGATTTCATGTTCCTTTACAAGTATATTTTCTTATAAGCATGTTCCTTTTTTTCCTCATCAGAGCTCCGATTCTTGTTGTAAGAGACAGCACAATTTCAAAGTTCTAAAAAGTGTACAAAATCTGCATCTTAAAACTGATGAAGTGTAGTATATCAAACCAATCTCCTTGGCAAGTTTCTATTCATTCCAATAATGTACATTTATTATAAAAACAGGCACTCTGGTGGCATAATGCCTAAGGCATTTGACTGCTAACCAGAAGGCTGGGGTTCAAACCCACCAGCCAGTCTTTGGAAGGAAGATTAGGCAATCTACTTCTATAGTGATACAATCTCAGAAACCCAAGGAGGGGTCGCTATGAGTCAGAGTCAACTTGATGGCAATGAGTTTGCTTTTTGGTTTATTACACAACATTTATTCTAAAAATAAAATTCTTAGGACAAATATTAGTTCATTATTATAAAAAGTGAAGGTAAGGTTTGTAAATAAAAGGAAACTTTCTTTGTTGGTTACCAGGGTGGGAGGGGAGGGGAGGAAACACTGCAAAAATAAAAATAAATAAATAAAAATAGAATTCTAAACTATTTGAGCAGTCCTCTAGTGACATATGTTGCTGAAAACATTTAAAATTTTTATATTTTGGAAGCAATGTGTCTATTGACTAATGATTGCTGTGTAAGTAAGTAAGGATGTTTTTTTTCTTTGGCAATAACCATTAGTTTTAAGTACTAAAGACTGGAGAGGAGGACGAGCAATCAGGCTAAAAGTAATACTGTACTTTGGTAAAAAGGCTAAGACAGAATACTAAAGAGATTGTATCTTTTTAAAAATACATCTATATGCTGACTTTGTAGATGACTTTAAAGGACTTTCATTATTATTATAGGTTTTAATAATTATAATTATTAAATGAAAGCAGCATTGCTGGAAATAGTAAAAAAAAATTTATTTTGAGTAACACAGTCAAACAATAGGAATTCTGAGGGAATGAAAGTACCAACATAAAATTTTTAACAGTGGGAAAAGAGAATGAGTATCAAGTCCAGAGAGTTCCAAGACAGCGCTCTGCATTGACAATGTCTCCTGGGTTTATTATCAAGTCTCCTCTGGTCACAAGGAGGAACACTGGGCAAAATGTATTAAAAACTTTTTTTGAAGGAAGCAGATCACCACCAAGATAATGAGATTTTGGGGGTGGGAGGTATGCAAAATCCCAAAGAAGATGAATGCAAGCCAGGACCCCAGCATTTGAAGCTTTTCCCCTCAAGGTCACTGTTGAGGTTCAAAAGCAAAAGTGTGGCTGAGAGCTGAGCAGCAAAGCTACCAGGAGTCTCATGATGCCAGAGAAAAAAAAATAAAAGCTCAGGAACCTCTAAGAATGAGGCGCGCTGGTAAACACCCCGGGGCTTTTGAACAGCACCCAAAGGAGTTCATGTCAAAAGAAGAAAGGTACGTTCAGTATTCTCCGCCAACACCACAAGTCAAAAGCATCAACTCTTCTTTGGTCTTCCTTATTCATTATCCAGGTTTCACATGCACATGAGGCGACTGAAAACACCATGTCTTGGGTCAGGCACACCTCAGTCTTCAAACAGACATTTTTGCTCTTCAGCACTTTAAGGAGGTCTTTTGCAGCATATTTGCCCACTGCAATAAGTCATCCGATTTCTTGATTGCTGCTTCCATGGGTGCTGATTATGGAACCAAGTAATGTTAAATCTTTGACAACGTCAATCTTTTCTCCATTTATCATGTGCTGCTTTTTGGTCCCGTTGTGAGGATTTTCATGTTCTTTATGTTGAGGTGATCCATACTGCAGACTGTAGTCTTTAATCTTGATCAGCAAGTGCTTCAAGTCCTCTTCACTTTCAACAAGCAAGGTTGTGTTGTCTGCATATCACAGGTTGTTAGTAAGTCTTCCTCCAATCCTGGTGCCATGATCTTCATATAGTCCAGCTTCTCAGATTATTTGCTCAGCACACAGATTGAATAAGTATAAGACATCTCGGTCTAGCACAGTAAAACTCCTCAAACCTAAGATAACAATGCCAGATGATATATCAGAAGGAAAATACAAGTCAGAAAACAACAAAATGGTATCTTCAAGATGCTGCAGTAGCTACCAACCTTTAATTCAATACACAGTAAAATGCAGTAAATCTAAATATGTAAATTCTGTATAAAACAACGCTGGAGGTTTAAAATATACGTAGAATAGAAATTCACAACAACCACAGCCCCAAAGGTGCAAAGAGGTTAAAATAGAGTTACAGGTAATTGCTTCCAGAAGTGGTGCCAGCAATAGTCTAAATTAGACTTTGATGACCCATGTACACATGCTGTAATCTCAAGGGTAACCACTGGGAGAACTATGTGAGAATGTGTAACCAACAAGCTCTAGAGGGAAAATCACAGAAAACAATCAATCCATACGATTATATGGATTAATACCTCTGTAAGTGTATATGCTTCCTCAGCTGTGCATTCAGCTTTTGCTGTGGGATTGCTTAGAGCAAATATTACAGGCCTTTCATTGATGGAGGCCATGGCTTTGATCACATCAGGAGTAAAGAGTCGGCCAGCACCTGCAGCTCCTGGAATCAGCAAGGAAGAGAAGAACGTCATTATCGGTATAATAAAGCCATTCTACAGAAGGTTTACCATGACAAAAGCCAAGATGATTACGAACTACAAAGAGAAATTTCACACTGCTGGGAGCTCTGGTAGCATAGTGCCTAAGACACTTGACTGCTCACCAGAAGGCTGGCGGTTCAAACCCACCAGCCACTCGGAAGGAAGGTTGGGCAATCCTACTTCTGTAATGATACTGCCTCGGAAACCCAAGGAGGGGTCGCTATGAGTCGGGGCCAACTCGACGGCAAACAACAACAACAAGATGATGCTACCAGAACACAACTTCAAATTTGAAATTAAAAACCATGGAATGCTAAAAGTGTTTATTCAAGTATTTATTGTCTACCATACAACCATAGTTAACTTACAGAAAATCAGAAGGAAAAAGAGTGAAGATTATCCCCATCACTCTAATTAAGAAGATAAATGTTGTGTCTCAAATGTTAAACTATTAAACTCTGTGGTACTCATTTCAAAATAACAGGAATTCAGAAGGGATCGCAGGTTATCTTGACCAAAGCCATCCATTTTCTCGATACAGTTCAATTTGACAGCCTTTTTTTATGCCCGTACAATGTCCAGGCACCCTATTAGGCCACTTAGGATATAAAAACAAGTATAATGCAGGCAGCTGACACCTGAGAGGAAAACAAGTAAACAGAAATCAGAAAGCTCACAATAGGTGTCAGAATGCCGTAATAACCCAGACAAGCATGCGCTATGGAAGCGCAGCGTGGAGGAGGACCACTGCCTGGAGGGGGGTGCCGGGCACCTCAGCTGAGTACTCAGCCTTTCCACCCCAGAGGAACACTTACTAAACACAGTAGTAGTTAAGGTTTCACTCAATTCTGTAAACTTTGTTTTATGACAGAGAAAAATACGGACCTGGATACTTGGGTTTCAGTGCTTGCTGTCAGTACCAGCCGTATGAAATACTCGTGAACGTGGGCCAAGTGGCTTAGCATCACTGGCCTTTTTCTTGTTATATAAAAAAGGCGTTTATGTTCAGTGTTCCTCTCTGAGAAGGCTCGTGAACAAATTCTTATGGATCATGAGTGCTAATAAGATTTTAAAAATGTGTTTTTTCATTTCCTTGACCCTCACGAGGCGGGGTAGTCAGTGGACAGTCTTAGGTTTCCATACTGAGTTTTCGGAGAAAGGGATTAGATGATCTTTAAGATCATCTAGCTGAGTCCCGATTACAGAAGCAGCTGATGCAAACATGCTTTTCCTGACCACTGGAATGCAGTGGCTGTGACTGCGTTTTACTCTTTAACATCCAACAGGGATACATTCAAGGAGCCCTGGTGGTATAGTAGTTAAGTGCTCACCTACTAACCTAAAGGCCGGTGGTTCGAACCCACCAGCCACTCCATGGGAGAAAGATGAGGCAGTCTGCTTCCGTGAGGATTACAGCCTTAGAAACCCTGTAGGGCAGCTCTACTCTGTTCTATAGAGTTGCTATGAGTTGGAATCAACTCAACAGTAATTGGTTTAGTTTTATGGTGTAGGGATATATCCATCTACGTATTTTACATGAAATTGATAAAAATCACAAGAAATACTGTAGATTAAAATCCTATAGCTATTTAGAAAATTAAATACCTCCTCTTTAAAAACACTTTGACTTTATTTGCTGAGAACTTCATGCCGTGTTAGCACAATCGAATAGCAGACTACGTAAGCGATGCCTGACTCTCACAATGCACCAAAAGTTTCCAGCTTTGTTGTCAGTGACATTTTTGGCCTCTGCGTAGTACTTCCCTTATAGAGACTGTCAAATAACCTTGGTGTCTTTTTCAGGTCTTGAGCCCAATAGTCCCAGCAAGTCTAAAAGCAAAGCATAATGAATTGTATCGTTCCTAGGACTTAACACATTCTCTTAACTGAACTTTCAGGCAGTGTAACCAAAAGGCTATCACAGGAAAGCTATCATATATGATGAAAGCTACAAAACAAAACAAAACAAAAAAAACCTGCCAATTCATTTTTAGGAATCCTACATGGTAGTTATGACTAGAAATATACACTTAAATAAATAAAATTATTTATCAACAACTTGACTCACCAATTATAGCTGAAGGCTTAAGTACATTGACTGCATCTTCAAAAGTTTTAGGTATTCTCTTTGGGGCTGGATGAGCAAATGGTTCCTGATAACTATCTATTTTAGAGTTCCGCTCCTGCATTTTTAGATAAAATACAGTATTTTTTACTAAATGAAAAGATATCATTATGAGTCACAAACAGCTTCCATGATAGAAATGTCTTTCATTTTCATTTACTTTTGTCTTCAACCCACATCATCCATTTTCACAGTATAAAGCCAAATATAAAGCATGTATCAAATCCCATAAATGCCTAGAAACTTTCTGGTCTCTCTCAAAACCTCATTTACTCTGCGAATTCCTCCTAAATCCAACAAGGCACAAAGGTCTCAAATGCCTTTTCCAGGCTAAATGTGTTCTGGAATTCAGAATTTTGCATATTTTAGAAATGTAATATAGTAATACGTCAAATGCCACTAAGCTATATAGAAAATTAAGTAACTCCTTTTCAAAAAGACTTGACTTTTATAACTGTGACACTCCACAACTATACAAAACTTATGAACAGTCACATCAAGGACAAATGGTTAAGGCCACAAAGAGCCTCAGCTTAGTTCAGGTCAGCCAGATCTGCTACCCACTGAATTTCAGAAAAATCACTGGGCTTTCAGAGCTTTCAAGGTTTTAGAATTGTAGCTAACGATTGTGGACTTATAGCGCCAAGAATTCAGAATAAGAGGAACAGGGAATGTTGGCTCAAGATGGCTGGTGAATACACAGGCTCCCACCACAAACACCATAAAAATGAAATTCTTAGGAGTGCTACAAATCCAGGAGAGGTACCGTAACAGACTAGGACAGTGAAGACTTTTTCAAAGATTTAAATCAGGTAAAAACACATTGAAG